GCTCTTTGGAGGAAAACTTGAACCCAAAATCTTAGGGACCAGGGCTTGCGATTTGGCTTTTTGGAGGAAAACTTGAACCCAAAATTTTGGGGACCAGGGCTTGCGATTTGGCTCTTTGGAGGAAAACTTGAACCCAAAATCTTAGGGACCAGGGCTTGCGATTTGGCTCTTTGGAGGAAAACTTGAACCCAAAACCTTAGGGACCAGGGCTTGCGATTTGGCTCTTTGGAGGAAAACTTGAACCCAAAATCTTAGGGACCAGGGCTTGCGATTTGGCTCTTTGGAGGAAGACTTGAACCCAAAATCTTAGGGACCAGGGCTTGCGATTTGGCTCTTTGGAGAAAAACTTGAACCCAAAATCTTAGGGACCAGGGCTTGCGATTTGGCTCTTTGGAGAAAAACTTGAACCCAAAATCTTAGGGACCAGGGCTTGCGATTTGGCTCTTTGGAGGAAGACTTGAACCCAAAATCTTAAGGGACCAGGGCTTGCGATTTGGCTCTTTGGAGAAAAACTTGAACCCAAAACCTTAGGGACCAGGGCTTGCGATTTGGCTCTTTGGAGGAAAACTTGAACCCCAAATCTTAGTGACCAGGGCTTGCGATTTGGCTCTTTGGAGGAAAACTTGGACCGAAAATTTTAGGGACCAGGGCTTGCGATTTGGCTCTTTGGAGGAAAACTTGAACCCAAAATCTTAGGGACCAGGGCTTGCGATTTGGCTCTTTGGAGAAAACTTGAACCCAAAATCTTAGGGACCAGGGCTTGCGATTTGGCTCTTTGGAGGAAAACTTGAACCCAAAATCTTAGGGACCAGGGCTTGCGATTTGGCTCTTTGGAGAAAAACTTGAACCCAAAATCTTAGGGACCAGGGCTTGCGATTTGGCTCTTTGGAGGAAAAATTGAACCCAAAATCTTAGGGACCAGGGCTTGCGATTTGGCTCTTTGGAGGAAAACTTGAACCCAAAATCTTAGGGACCAGGGCTTGCGATTTGGCTCTTTGGAGAAAAAATTGAACCCAAAATCTTAAGGGACCAGGGCTTGCGATTTGGCTCTTTGGAGGCAAACTTGAACCCAACATCTTAGGGACCAGGGCTTGCGATTTGGCTCTTTGGAGGAAAACTTGAACCCAAAATCTTAGGGACCAGGGCTTGCGATTTGGCTCTTTGGAGGAAAACTTGAACCCAAAATCTTAGGGACCAGGGCTTGCGATTTGGCTCTTTGGAGGAAAACTTGAACCCAAAATCTTAGGGACCAGGCTTGCGATTTGGCTGTTTGGAGGAAAACTTGAGCCGAAAATCTTAGGGACCAGGGCTTGCGATTTGGCTCTTTGGAGGAAAACTTGAACCCAAAATCTTAGGGACCAGGCCTTGCGATTTAGCGCTTTGGGTGAAAACGTGAACTCAGAATCCCCCCCCACTTTCGGATTTAAATTATTTAAATTATTTAAATTATTTAAATTATTTAAATTATTTAAATTATTTAAATTATTTAAATTATTTAAATTATATAAATTATTTAAATTATTTAAATTATTTAAATTATTTAAATTATTTAAATTATTTGAGTGATTTAAATTATTCAAATTATTTAAACTATTTAGATTATGTAAATTATGTAAATTATGTAAATTATTTGAACTATTGAATTCCCGGCCGAATTGAATAATTTAAATAATATAAATCCGAAACCTGCCCGTCACATTTAGATTATGTAAATAATTTAAGTCCGAAAAGGCGGGGGAGCCCGGGCCTCCCCCCAATACTAAATTACGAGCCCGGCCTCCCCCCAATACTAAATTACGAGCCCGCACCTCCCCCCAATACTAAATTACGAGCCCGCGCCTCCCCCCAATACTAAATTACGAGCCCGGGCCTCCCGCAATACTAAATTACGAGCCCGCGCCTCCCCCCAATACTATCTAACCTCTGGCTGGGGGCGACCCAGAGCGAATTAAAACTTTCTAAACTATCTAAACTATCTAACCTCTATTTTGGGAAAAAAGGAGGTTAGATAGTTTAGATGGTTTAGGGGCTCGTCTCAACTATCTAAACTATCTAAACTGTCTAAACTATCTAACCTCCTTTTTTCCCAAAACCGAGGTTAGATAGTTTAGATAGTTTAGAGGCTCGTCTAAACTATCTAAACTATCTAAACTATCTAAACTATCTAAACTATCTAAACTATCTAAACTATCTAAACTATCTAACCTCCTTTTCTCCCAAAATGGAGGTTAGATCGTTTAGATAGTTTAGATAGTTTAGAAAGTTTCAAACCTCCTGGGGGCCTCCCCGGAAAGAGGTTAGATAGTTTAGATAGTTTAGATAGTTCAGGAAGCCCCTGAACTATCTAAACTATCTAAACTATCTAACCTCTGGCTGGGGACGACCCAGAGGGAATTGAAACTTTCTAAACTATCTAAACTATCTAAACTATCGAAACTATCTAACCTCTGTTTCTCCCAAAATCGAGGTTAGAATGTTTAGATAGTTTAGGGGCTCGTCTAAACTATCTAAACTATCTAAACTATCTAACCTCCTTTTCTCCAAAAATCGAGGTTAGATAGTTTAGATAGTTTAGATAGTTTAGAAAGTTTCAAACCTCCTGGGGGCCTCCCCGGAAAGAGGTTAGATAGTTTAGATAGTTTAGATAGTTCAGGAAGCCCCTGAACTATCTAAACTATCTAACCTCTTTCCGGGGAGGCCCCCAGGAGGTTTGAAACTTTCTAAACTATCTAAACTATCTAAACTATCTAAACTATCTAACCTCCGTTTCTCCCAAAATCGAGGTTAGATAGTTTAGATAGTTTAGGGGCTCGTCTAAACTATCTAAACTATCTAAACTATCTAAACTATCTAAACTATCTAACCTCTGTTTCTCCCAAAATCGAGGTTAGATAGTTTAGATAGTTTAGGGGCTCGTCTAAACTATTTAAACTATCTAAACTATCTAAACTATCTAAACTATCTAACCTCCTTTTCTCCCAAAATCGAGGTTAGATAGTTTAGATAGTTTAGATAGTTTAGAAAGTTTCAAACCTCCTGGGGGCCTCCCCGGAAAGAGGTTAGATAGTTTAGATAGTTTAGATAGTTCAGGGGCTTCCTGAACTATCTAAACTATCTAGACTATCTAACCTCTGGCTGGGGACGACCCAGAGGGAATTGAAACTTTCTAAACTATCTAAACTATCTAAACTATCTAAACTATCTAAACTATCTAAACTATCTAAACTATCTAAACTATCTAACCTCTGTTTCTCCCAAAATCGAGGTTAGATAGTTTAGATAGTTTTGGGGCTCATCTAAACTATCTAAACTATCTACACTATCTAAACTATCTAAACTATCTAACCTCCTTTTCTCCCAAAATCGAGGTTAGATAGTTTAGATAGTTTAGGGGCTCGTCTAAACTATCTAAACTATCTAACCTCCTTTTCTCCCAAAATCGAGGTTAGATAGTTTAGATAGTTTAGGGGCTCGTCTAAACTATCTAAACTATCTAAACTATCTAAACTATCTAACCTCCTTTTCTCCCAAAATCGAGGTTAGATTACGGTTAGATAGTTTAGATAGTTTAGAAAGTTTCAAACCTCCTGGGGGCCTCCCCGGAAAGAGGTTAGATAGTTTAGATAGTTCAGGGGCTTCCTGAACTATCTAAACTATCTAAACTATCTAACCTCTTTCCGGGGAGGCCCCCAGGAGGTTTGAAACTTTCTAAACTATCTAAACTATCTAAACTATCTAAACTATCTAAACTATCTAAACTATCTAAACTATCTAACCTCTGTTTCTCCCAAAATCGAGGTTGGATAGTTTAGATAGTTTAGGGGCTCGTCTAAACTATTTAAACTATCTAAACTATCTAAACTATCTAACCTCCTTTTCTCCCAAAATCGAGGTTAGATAGTTTAGATAGTTCAGGGGCTTCCTGAACTATCTAAACTATCTAAACTATCTAAACTATCTAAACTATTTAAACTATTTAACCTCCTTCTCCAAGAAAGGAAAGTAATCACATAGTACCTAAAGGTCCCTCTTACATATATATATATATATGCTTGGTATAGTTACCAAAAAGAACTGCATCATCCGCACAGTGTACCTTGCTGTTGTACATATTCGTGCTGCCTTGGAGATCAGATTCGATCTTTAATGTCTGTAAACATTGCTGTCATAAGACACTCAGAGTCAAAACAAACGAGCCTTTTCCCGATACAAACAGCAACACATCTCTATAGACAAGGATGTCTGCTCTCCCCATTCGATGCTTCGTAAACGTGCTCAATCAACTTGTACATTTTAGGCGGAACCCGTAGTCTACGTAAAACTCGCAATAGCTGTTTTTCCGGCCCTCTTTATCAAATGCTCTTTCCCGGTCAATCAAGTAGTACTAGTGTCAGATTTGTTCCTGTTTGTTCTCCAATGCCGAGCAAGCGCCTTGGAATAAAAAGTAGCTTGAGCTGTTGATCTGTTGAGCCAAAATCAGTATTGAGGTTATTGAGGCCATGGATCATATGTAGCAGCCAACCTTTTTTGAGAAGTGCTGCTAGCAGCTTGTATAAAACCTGCAACTGTCATAGGGCGATGTGTCTGTAGTTGATCATTTTTGCGTCTCCTTTCTGAAAGAGTGATACTATGTTTGCGAGTGTAGGTGATTCCAGAAGATTCGTCGAATTCGATAATCTCATTAAAGATCTCGAGAAGACGTTGTCGATTTCCTTCGTCCAACCATTTGATGAGCTCTGTTGTGCGGCCATCCGGTGCCGGCATTTGTTGCTCCCTCAACTCTTCCGAATGAAAATGTTCGTCCGAAATGTTTAAATTTGACGGGCCGATATATGTCTTTTCATAATATGACATGGTTTGGGAGTTGCCTGCCGGTGGGGCCCATTGAATTTCCTGTAGATATTTGGCTGCTTCATTGGCAAACTCCGACTCCTTGATTTATTTGCCAGCACTGCTTCCAAACTTGGGGAGGTGTTCGAACTGTTTTTAACCATGCCGGCCTTCATCCGCAGGGCTCGTTCGAAGATCCGACGGGCACGAAATCGATGGAAAGAATTGGTTGCCTCATTTTCGGCACGGGTTCGCAAGATGCCGGGAAACCCGGATTGCAACACCCTTGGCACACTGTTCCGTTGGCAAAGCGAGCGCGACTAAGGCACAGGCTAGGCAGATCGAGTTAGGAAGAGCTCCTTCCTTTGCTTCCAGGAGACGCTCCAGGGAGTAAAGCCTGAATTGTCAGCGAATGTTTACATCTCCTGATGAGCACAAATTGGGCTTTTTAAACGTTAAAAAACTCGAAAACAAACCTAAATGGGCTTGTTAACGTTTAACAAACCCTCAAACCAGGCTTTAAGCTCTACAGTATGTAGTGCCCATGTCGAGAATTCGAGGAGCGCATTGGTCCGTGTGGAGACGGACACTTCTTCGAGCAGGACCTGCCCAGCAAGCAGCCAAGAACGCTTAAGGAAGCGGGGTAAACGAGGATGGCTTGTTCAGAGACAAGGTTTTGGGAGTTCAGGGATGGCCTCCGCCCTCAGCACACTGCGTTCCTCGAGCCAGCGCTTCATCGCTGCCGCCTCGGAGACCTGGCGGAGGTTTGCTCCGGAGGCTGCTCTTCCCCATGAAGGATACCTACAGTATAAATTTCTGCACTTCTTGTAACCGACTCGTCATGCATCATGCTGCAGGACTTTCGGGCAGATGATTGCCCTCCCGGCCGCCCTTCTCACGATTGATATCCGAAAGCGTCCGAAAGCGACTTGCGGCCTTGGACCCACACCGCCTGGCCTGCGACACGACGTCCTCAGCGATTCCTCCTGACAGAACCAGCCTTGTCTGCAGGGGCACATGTCGAGAAGACGATTCTGCAAAACCAGACTGTACAAATCTCAGCAATCGTGGTGAATTCTGCCGAACGGCGTACGGGTATTGCCCGAAGCCAAAGCTTTGAGTGCCAGGGCCAAGCGCTGAGACAGCAAGCCGCCCTGGCAGGGGTTCGAGGGAGCATGATCTCGCGGGCAGTAGATTCTCAATAGATGATGACTTGACTGACATGAAGGCCTTAGAGAACTGGACAGGTGCAGCATGGTGCAGACTTGAGGCTCGCTGGTGCCTCGGGAACGAGCCCAGTGTTCCACTCAATGGCATAACCCAACACAACAATGGCCTCAGGGCTTCGGATGCGGGCTTACCATCTCTCAAACATCTCAAACCTCAGCCCGAAAACCCAGGAAAGCTTGGCTGACGGGATCAGCCTGCAAACCAGGCTACCCCCCCCCCCCGCCCCCGCCCCCCCCCCTCTTCCCATTGCCTCGCAGGAGCTTGGTTCGGGGCCAGCGAGCCGAGAGAGAAGCGCTAGGGGGAAGCCTGTGTTTACCACGCAGAGGACGCACAGGAGGGGAGGGTCGCACAAGTAAGGTCTTTGTGGCGGGGGGGGCAGGCTTGTGTGCCTTGTAAGAAGATTGCAAGGACGAGGATGCCGACAATTGCCCTGCACCTCAGCCGAGCAGTCAAGAGGTGCTGTATTCTTGCAAGTCTTTCAGCCCACAGCTTGTGGCGGCTTGTGGCTTATGTCAGGAAGTTCATCAAAAACTGGAGGGTGCTCGGTGCGGGGTGCCTGTTGTCTCGGCCTGGGAGGCTGTAGGGCCTAGGGCCTCTGTCACAGCAATCGTTTTGCCATGGCACGGGCTCATCAGTCTCGTCGTCCCAACAGCACCATGGTTGCACTACGTCAAGCGGTCATCAGATGAAGCTTTCAGGCTACAAGAGCTGAAGGGCTGCGCCCATGTTCGACAATCGGTGCGTACCCTGCAACTGGATACGTTAGTCGCGGTCACACGGCCTTCTCAAGATTTACCGACGTAGCTGTACCTTGCCTCAGACCGCTAGACCGCTGAACAGACATCTACATGCTCACCTTCATATTATGCACGTCCAGACCTGGTCTCGAAAAGAGCCCGCTGAAAGCCTTGTCGCTCAGCTTGACGTCGACCAGCCAACGTCCTTGGCCCCCACCCTTGCTGAGCTTCTAGGGCCCATCCCAACACCTTGTGCAGAAATTCTGAGACTTTGGAAGCCTGATGCGTCTTCGAGACTTGCCTTCTCGACGTCATCTTGAAGTATGCCCTGGAAGAGCCTTCCTAAGCCCCAAACCCAAAATCCGAACGCCGCAATTGCCTGGAAGACACTGCAGCACTATGGCGGACACGCAACCCCGCTTTGGGTTTTGGGGCTCTTGACGCCCACTGGGCCTCTGATTCACTTCCCAAGCCTGGGACTTTAAACCCTCATAATGCCTGACCAACCACAGTCCGCCATCTCGAACCCAGTCACCGAGTCCCACCCAGAAGCTTCTAACCCCGACTCGGAAACTTCGACATCCGCCACTGGAGCCGGTCTACACCCACCGCCGAAGACACTGCAGACACGCCAGTAGCCGCCACACCCTGGCCCCTGACATTGGCGACAGTAACAATGCCACCAACCTTTGTTTAGGGCCCTTCAGCACCATCGAAGCACCATTCGCAGCTTGGGAGCTCGAGGTCAGGATACCGACTCCCCGGACCTGCAGAGGCAGATGTCACGCCCAAAAGCTGATTCTTAGTACATGCTCCAACAATCATACAAGTAACAACCCTGCAAAACCTCCGAGACCTTACGTCTTGGGTCTTAACTGCAACTCTCCATAGGCAGCGTCCTTGTGAGTCCTGCCAGACAAGGCGTTCTCGGGCCATCCTGCAAACGGCAAGCTGTAATGCTATTCCGGCGGTGTGTAACCCGCAAACTGGTTGCTCCATAATTCAAATGGGGGTTTCCAAAGATAGGGGTACCCCTCCATATGACTTTTCTTAGGTGGTGAGGCAGAAGCCTTGTCGGAAACATCATTGGCACGGGGATTCGCGTCAGCTTGGGCTTGCTCCACCCTCCTCTTCGCCGGTGGACTGTATTGAGTGTTTCCCCCAGAACTTCGACTTGTGCATGTTTAGCCAGCTTGCTGGTTTCAGGTCTCAGAGGATCTGGAAAGACTAAACCTGCAACACTTGCCTAGGTTCAGGCCTACTTTTGTGACGTGTTTGCGTGTTTACCCGAGTGACGTCCGGCCAGAGCAATCTAGAAGATCAGCAAAGCCGACGCCAAGCTGAAGGCTGAGAGGTGTCAGGAGGGCGTTTCTAGCCTGAGAACTTGGAGCAAGGCAGATTGAACTCATGGTAGCTGCTCGTGCCAGCCCGCGTGGTGCGCATCCATGGTCAGGTCCTGGTCTCGAAGAGCTGACCTGGAGGCACAACGCAATGAAAACGCCACAACAAAAGGCGTACCAGGCGCCTCAGTGCAAAGCACAACAAGGCACAGCAAAATCTCAGTCTCGTCCTTCCGGGCTGCTGAGCCCTGGAGGATGGAGGCCCAGCCTCAGAACTCCGTGCTCTTGTGCCCGCGCGATAAACGAGGGCGTGGCTCAGATGCGTGTCTTCAACCGATCACGCTAAGGCTGCTGAGGATGAGACTTCTTATGCCAGTTGCTAAGCTGTTTGTCGCGCTGGTGCTGCTCAATGCGCAGCCTGTCCTGACATAGCAATGTGCAGTTTCCTTTCAGTTACCTGGCCTCCAGCTCAACCCAGCCCGTGGCCGACTCCAAGACCAACTTTGTACGACTACGCATACATCATAGCAACGTGCCAAAGCATGGCACTTCGCACAAGAACTGAAGTGCAAAGGCTACAGCAGACAGTAGAAAACACGTAGTCTGAAAACGGCGTCCTGCCAAAGCAAGTGGCCCGTCATGAAGCTGGTTCGGTGGCTCTGCTCTTTGCCTTCAGAAATTCATGAACTCTGGCAGCCCCTTTCAATCACAATGACTGGACATAATTACAGTACCGGCCGGCAGCGCACAGAAAACCCTATGCCAAGCCCGCAGCCGATCACTACCTTTCGGTACAAACCACCCACGGGCTCAACCGCCATGGTGGCAAACGGATTTTGGCGTGCTGTGTGTGTGTGTGTACAAGTTTATCACCGGCAATCTGGAGCCACTAGATTTCGATCCAAATGCCCGGGCTCTGTGGAGATCTTCCGAGAAGCTGTTTCTCTGCAGCATGTTGTTTCTACTCGGGTGCTAAACGATGTTGCCAACATGACCTTGATCCAACCTCCAGAACCTTGACATGCTTCACTGTGTATCGGATCTTTGCTGAGGGCCAGGGTGTGGCAACTTTCATCTCACCAGCCGTGCACTGCTCCGGCCTCGTGCTAAGACTGAATACATTGTTTCGTTATTCTGTGAAGCCAGGCATATATCCGGAACCTGTCTGAAAGGCCAAGTCTTCGGACTTTGTATGCAACCCGCAGAGGTGCCCTGGCTGCAACAGTGCTGCATTGAAGCTGGTCATGCACGACAACTTTTGAAGCGAGGCAGGACCAAGTGACCTTCTCTGAAAAGTGCACACGTCTGCAAGCGCTGCACTGCAAGGTCTCCACGACAAGCCCACTGAGTTTTGGAGGCGGGCACTGACCTTGCTCACAATCCTACAAATCCGAACAAGACTTGAACCCTGGTAGAAACCAAGTAAAAGATACTGCGGGCCTGCTCCACGTGAAGCACTGGGCTTGCAAACAATCTGTCAACCCCCCGGCAGCGCCCTGGTCCACCGGGGTGAAAGTAGGAAAGTAGCGGTGTGACAACGCTGGCCCTTCAGGGGTGCCCCATTCGCAAGACTTCGGAAGACCGAAGCATGAAAGGATATCTCACAGAATCTCGACATGACGATGGGCCACCCCAATCAGATGACAACGCTGCCCGAGATGCAGACCTTAGGAGTGAAACGGACAGGATTGGCAGGATTGGGCAATGCATCAAGGACTTTGGGAATGGGGGGTCACACCTCTTTGGCACAGCTCCGCTTGTATCCAAACCAGATTGCAGGCTCTCCATGTGCAGTCGCTTCAGTCATGCGTGCAGCCACGCACCACACTTGGCATCGTATCTAAAGCATCTACAACTCCTTGGGGCACTGGCAGGGCCGGCCCCCATGGAGACACACTGCATCGGAACACCCACGGGGTCCTCACAAGGAATGTCGGCTCTCGTTGTCGGCCTCTCTGTAAATGTCACGCTTCACATAGCATGCGTGGATGAATTACTCTTTTGCTCTGTGTGGCGCACCAATGCGCACATGGAGATGGCGCACACGGTGCCCCAATGGTTTGGACAGTTTGGGCAGGCAGCTGCTGTACACACGGCTGCATGCATATGAGATCCTCAAAGAGGGCTTTAAAGAGTGATCCAGAACAATTAAAAGCCTGGATGGCCTCCGGATACTCCACATGTGCTGTCAAGGCGCTCCGCGCCGTGCCCTGTTGGGTGCAGGACGACAGGCCAGAGTGGAGGCCGCATGCCCATAAAAATAAACAATTTCGAACAGAAATCTTGCCCATTAGCAAGGTCCGAAGGGTCCGCGTGCTGGACTGATTTGCCGCAAGAGCACTTTGAATACCTTTAAACACTGGTGCACGGATGTACTTTGACATGCCTTCCTCTCAGAAATCCAGGCATGCGAACAATCGGCACTGAAAGTAAACATGAAGCCCGACCTTTGCAGTGTCAAAGTTAACCTCGCATGCAATGTGGCTCCAGGCTTCAAGCCAAGCCAGGAGAGTGCACATTGACTATTATCGACCTGGGAAGAAGGCACAGGGTCCCTACGTCATGGGAATCCGAACTTTGTCATTCAGGGTTGGCTAAATGGCACCGTTGTCGTACCCAACGGCCCCCACGAGCTTCTTCTAGAAACTGCTCGTGCCGTGCCGCATCAATGTAATTATATACAAAGAATCGTCCGTGGGGGGTGTGATGCCGGAAGCAATCCAATCACACCCACAGTTCTACAATTCTACAGTTGCGCGAACGAGATTCGTGCTTTCTGACTCCCTGAAGCTGGCATTAACAACCGCAGCATCTCAGGGGACTGGGGCGAGTGTTCAACAAGTCCTGACACTAGCTAACACGGTTCAAATCCGTGCTTTCTGGTGAGGTCTTGGGCTAGTTCTCAGAAGCCAGCAGTCAGAGAGATTCAAGTTGACAGCCTAGCGGAGGAACTCGGCTTCCGCACAGCTTGTAGTACTCAGCGCTTCCCTGCCAAGTTCATTCGGACTCTTTGTCCTCCTCTAGTATGCTTCTGGGTAACTACTCGCAAGTGGCCGGAGCTACGACCCGAATGCCCGAGGGAAGTGCGGTGCAACAGCGGTGCAAGTAGAAAGCAAGTACATACTCTTCTCCATTTCGTGACGACGTCAAGAGTTGGCGAATTGCCCGCAGTAACGCGCGAGACACGCTGGGCAAAAGCCTCGAGGAGCAGCCTCGGAGTCAATGTTTCAACGAAAACACCGAGCCGAATGCTCGCAAGGCCATCACCGACACAATGGAGGGCGTGGTGCGAGTTCAGCCCATGCGTGAGCAGTCGCGCCTGAGACTAGGTCGCATTACAAGCCTGTATTGTTGTTGACAGTGGTATACCACCAACCCATGATGTGTATATTATACACATCATAAAGCCTTTGTCGTTCTACTCTTCATTCCCTCAACTTCCTGAGTTCTGCGTGCACCCTGCCTAAAGTAGCTTGGACTGGGGGGAAGCAGTGAATGGTTCCTAGTTAGGGCCAACCGTTCCAAGGGTGTCGACGCATTTGCGTTTTCGATCGCCTTAACACTGTAAGATCTGCTAGACACAACGCACAACAGATGGGGGCTCCCTAAGTCGTAGGGTGCGATTGAGAAGTGTGCTGGTTGGGGTTCTTGGATTTCGAGCTGCCTGCGCTGGGCTGAACCACAAGATGTAATAACGAATCTGAAGGACGTAGTGACGTAAACGAACTGGGTCTCGGTACGGACCAGTCCATCGCGCAGAGCTTTTCAATGCTCAGGCGGAATGATAGCGGCATGACTTGGAGCGCAAGTGATTGGAGGAGCCCGAGACTTGTCGAGCCATAGGCTGAATAGTTGGCGGCATCGCAAGCTCATCGCGGCGACCTGCTCGAAATGTGCATGCGCTAGGGGCCGCTAGGACTGATCCAAGATGATCCACGATTAAGACTAGAGCATACTTGGGCTCCAACAACGATGGGAGCTGGGGACCACGCTTTCCACACGGTCCTGGAAGTTGAATGGAGCTGCTTCCACATCCTCAAGACAGGCTTCAGGCTGCTTAAGGAGACTCAGGCACACTGGACATCGCCATCGAAAGCATCGCAACCGGCTGACAAGATGTGTGATGGGGTCTCGTGGCCCTGTTGGGGCAGGCTCCCATGAAGTCCTTCAGGAAGGACTTCATCTTGCGCAGATGCTTGTCATGGTCAAATCTTACCGGTGCTTGCATGTGCGTGGTCTCCTGCCAGGACAAGCGGACCACACACGCGTATGCGCCTATGGGCCATGATAACGAGCACTTTGCCTGGGACTTCGGACTCCCGTACTTGCTGTCGTAGAAGGAGGATCTGTGCTGCCGCAAGCAGCCATAGGTTTCCAGCGTGATTGAGCTTCCGACCTCAGCGTCTTCCCTTGAAAAAACAGCGCCGCTGGTACGCGAACTTGCAAACACTCAGCCATTGAAGTCTTAACGTGCCACGTCTCGTCGATGCTGGTACTAAATACTACTTCCCAGTGCGGTTGCGCGGAAGCAAAGTCTATACAGTCGGTTAGTAAATTCCAAGCTGGGACACCTCGTGGGTCAGGCCTGTCTCTGACAAAGCCTGCACCGACACCAATGGCATGTCATGCTCATTTGGGAATACACTGATTGGAGTGGAGCACTTCAGCTTTGAACTTTGGAGATCCCAGCTCTTGTTGTGCGCGGGCTTAGCGGGTTAGAACCCTCCGCGGCGCATACGGGTTACCAGGTTTAAGCTTTCCGCATCATGCCAACTTAAATTCCACTTAAAGCATCGTTGCGACTTCATGCTGCACCTGCCACGATCGTCTACTTTTCTTGACCGAGCGGTTGCACAAACAGCGCAGCTCAACGATCACATCCTTGTCTTTAAGTCCCGAATCCAGCATGTGAAAATATGCACTAGAACGGGACTTACACAAACTACCACTCATCCGTTCGTTCGCATACGAAAAACAAATGCCTCGCCACGCATCACCACCTCGACGTCTGAGTCTCCCTCGCTGTTCTTGGACACCCGGTTTCTGCAACGAAGGACAATGAGTAACTCAACATTGCTGGCAAGTGAAGAAGATTGCGCAGATGCGAGTACCAAGTGTAGCGAGTTTATGCGCATGGAAGAGAAGGGAGGAGAGGTGGAGAGAGAGAGTGCACATGTGCCGGAGCATCCTGCACACCACATATTCCGTCTGGGCTGAAGCGGCGCACCCCATGGCTGCAACAGTCGTTGAAAAAATTGGCCGCGACAAATGTGGGATGGGCAGTGTGTAAGGCATGAAACCGTGCAGTGATGCGATGCAGCAAAGTGCCCTGTGTGACATCAACGCGGCTGCGGACATGCTCAGGTTGAGGGCATCGTACATCTGCAAAAGGCCAACTCCTCCCACCTTCGAATGTTTGTCATGTTGAGAGGCTGCCCTTCCGTTGTAAGGCCAACATGTTACTGCCAATCCAACCACAGCTGTCCCCGTGGCATGGTCCTTGCAGCACGTGTTGTTCTTCGGGTCGCAAGGCTTCCCAACTGAACGAGTTGGCTTCGCCAGGGCTTGCAGAACTGAAAGCCCTCCCCTCCCAACTATGGATCAACGCCCCGTGGCACAGCAAGTGGGTCTGAATGCCAAACCCCATGATGCTGTTCGTGACAGGCCTGCAACGCAGCTGGAGTCATCGCCGCTGCAAAGGACGTGGCAGGTGCTCCCATCTGGGCACTTGGCAGCCTTGCCATCCAGCAAGTCGCGGGCAACGGCGGACAACTGGAACCGGAACAAGATACCAGGATGGACAGGGGCCCCGCCTGGCCACTAGGGTTGAAAAGCAGTGAGCAGCCTCCTCCGGCAGCCTCCTGCGTACACAAGGCTGCGCTTCTGATTCTGATTCCGCAGGATGTTGTTGAACACGCCCTCTTGTGGACAGCAACCATCATCAGAGGCCATCGGGGCACCTAGCGCCTAAAACATTAGTCACAAACAAGCACTCAGCAATACCCAGCAGGCCTCGAACATGCAGCCGAGAGGATACTCGTGGCCATCCGCCGGCGTTTGCACAATGTCCTGCATTGGGGAGGGGCTCGGCGCACTAACATTCCTCTGCACTGGCCAATACCTCCACACTTCTCAAGACAGCTGCAACATTGCATGCAGCCGAGCTATTAGCAGCTTCGTCAAAAGGCAAGTCGTAGCTTCTGGCAGTTTGATCAGTCGGTATGTCGTTGGGTCTCGCAAACTTCTCGGATGGGTCAAGGTCCCGAAGCTTCCCTACCCAGTAACCCTTATGCCCTAAACATCCCTAAACCCCAAAAGCCTTCCAGCCAACTCCGTAGCAGCCACGCCCAGGCCAAACTGCCTGGCGACTCTCAGGCGCAGCCCGCAAGCAGGTTGTCTTGGAAGAAGCCTTCTTACAAGCGACCTGTGTGGAACCCCAGGGTCCAACACAGAAAGCACAAAACCATGAGCCCGCCAAGCCCTAGGATCATTCCATTAGGCATCCATGGGCGGTGAAAACCCTAAGATACATAAAACTA